TTTATTTTAAAATTTTCATCATCTAATGTCTATGTAAAAAGATAACGAAAAAAACTAAAAAAGAGCTAGATAATAAATTTTAGAGATTAAAAAGAGATTTTCTTAAGTAAAGAAACTAAAAATGACTTTTTGTTCAAATAAAGGGACCAAGATGAAAATTTAACCTAAAACTAATTAATTGTGCAAGCCCTTCTCCCTTTCTCTCTTTAATTTTCTTTTTGTGATTGCTAAAGAAATAAAAACTTGAAAGCTCCAAATCTCCCCTCTTGGAGTACTTGAGCTAATACATTCTAGTTTTCGACAAAAACCCTATGCAAGCAATTTCCTCATCGAGCACTGGCAGGTATAATCTTTTTTAACTTTTTTTAATATTTTCTTTTCAATTTAAAATTTTGCACTACAGTTCCTTTGATTCTCTAATATACATTTTTATCACAACAAGATGTTTCAAAAGCGAGGCGTGGTCTCTGCTCTCTTATCTTTCGAGAGCTTTACAGTTGCCTCATTTATTTTTTTTTCCCAACTAGGCGACTTAGGTCTAGAATTTTGGATCCAAAAGGATGGAAAATCTATCTTGTGGTGATCTTTTTAGGGATTTCCCTTCTTTTGGGGGGTTTCTCTGATTAAAAAATGAAACACCTCAAATTTCAAGGGAATGGAGGTAAAGGAAGAGCACGTATTTTACCTACAAATTGATTTCTTACACATTTGTTGTGATTTTGAGGTAGCACCCAAAGACTTTTGGGTTCTTTTGCCGTAGGAGTTCTGTTTGATCTTCAGTTGGTATAACCTCAAGGTGAAGTTTGTATTTCTAAGGTATATATATATAGGGTTAAAGCCAATTGTCATTTCTTTACTTTCATTTTTTGTTCATGTCCATCCCTCTACTAAGAATTTGTTCATTGTCATCCCTCTACTCCACAAAAAGCACTAAATGCCGTCCCTCTACTCCCTTTATTTTGTTCATTGTCGTCCTTTTCTTAATGTTGTTCATATTGCGGTCTATTTGAACCATTAATTGCACAACGGTCAACAATTAATGTATTTGTTTAACAATTTTTCCACCTATGCTAACCAATGGGACCACCTTTCCACATGTGCTGCCACCCAATCAAATAAAAATGACTCTTCTTTTCATCTATCCCTCGACATATTCCCCTAAATGCTTTGCAGAAACCCTACATCTAAATCTTTTCAAATTTTAAGTAGCAAATTAGCAAAGAGTGACATAATAAACTTTTCACTAATTAAAAAAAAAAAGTTAGTATATAACTAACACCACAAAATAATATTGCAAAGTCCAGACAAAGAAACAAAAAAAAGAAAGAAAGAAAGAAAGAAAGAAAGATAAAACAACTTAAAATAACATAACAAAAAGTTTTTTAGTCTCCACAATCTTTTACTTAGCATATTTCTCCAATTCCATTATCAAAGTTTTTATTTTTACCCCTTGATTTTTGTCTCACAAACCACCTTTTTGTTGGTAAAATTAAATTTTCCTTTTGTATTTAAGTATAAAATTATTTTATTTAACAACCTTTTTTAAATAAGTTTTCTTTTTGAAAAAATACAATGTATAGATTTTGATAGTATTTTCTAAAAACTAATTGACACTTCAATGCTATATTTTAAGTGATTTATCATATCATTTATTGAAAAATAGTAATTTGCTATATTTTAACTTTATAAATTTATATAATATCTAAAGTGGTATATGAAGAATAATAGATAGAGTAGTATGCGGTCTACAAATTATTTTATGATATTATTGTTATGTAATAAAGTTTATTAAGGACAAAATATTATTTTGGTACTTTATTATTCAAAATATTTTATAATTTAAATTATACTAAATGGTAAAATATGACTCCTTGAATAATAGATGGATCCTTAAAAATTGAGTCTTTTAACTAAAAGATCTTTATTTTACAATTTAATATAATTTAAATTGTAAAATAATAAAATCTTTTATTATTTATTTTTAAAAATAAATTTTTAGTTATATTTTTTTAAAAAAAGTAACAATACATCTTAACAACTTGCAAAATGAGTTAGAAAATGCTAATTTCATTTAATCTTAGGCTGGGCATTAGGTTTCTAAAAAAAAAAAAGATTGAATTTGGAGAAATATTGAGTGGAAGATGATGAAAAGGAAAGTACTATGTGGCCCCCACCAAGTTAGAACAAGTGAAAAAAAAAAAATTGAATTGTGTTAACAATTGACTAACGGCATATAACGATCAAAATAAACTGCTCAAGCAACGCCGTCCAAATAAGGATGATATTTTGAAAATAGGTAATGAAAATAAGGATGATATTGAATGGAAAAGGGTGAGCACAGGGATGACGTTGATTAGTGCTTGGGAAGTAAAGGGATGACCATGAACAAATCCTTAGTAGAGGGATAAGTATGAACAAAAAATGAAAGTAGGGGGATGACAATTGACTTTATAGAACCCAAGCTTAAAACCTACCTTTAAAGCCCAAACTTGAAAGCATACCTTAAAATCCAAACTTGAAATCGACATCTAAACCCAACTATCATACCCAATTAGCTAAGCCTACTTCTAAACTCAAAACTTAAAGCATACTTTAAAACCAAATCTTATAACTGCACCTAAACCTAACCACACCACAGCCCAATAGTTTTTTTTTTTGGTGCAAACCATAGCCCAATAGTTAAACATCTAGAAAAACATAAGCCCAACCTTTGTCACCGCTCAATTGAAAAATATAACCCTAACTGCCTATTGTTTTTATATGTTCATCAACATCAGCTTTAACCCCGTAAAATATTGATTGCTTTTAATTTGTTACTTTTATTTGTCTCAAAACTACAATAACACCAGATTCAATAATCAATCAATACATTTACCCAATTTACAGTGTGTAATGCCTGTATTTTTGCTTTTTGCGAATTCTAAGGTTCTAAGGATCGTGAATAGCAGTTTCTTTGCACCTGCAAAACCTATGATTAGTGCATAAAATGAATTGCTGCGATTTTTAACACTACTTTTTTTTTTTATCGAATTTGTAATATTATTTTAAATATATGTGATTTAGTAAAAAAATCTTTACATCATACTGTTAAAAATATAGTTACAAAATACTCTAATATCATAAACAACAAAATGATAATATCAATCTATTCAATTGAAGTAAGAATTAAGAAAGCAACCAAGACAAGTAAGCTTAGCAGGCTTATGTCGTTGCTACTAAGGTTGTTAATGAGTTGAATAAAGTGCTTAAGTACTTGTAAATTTAAACTTTAGTCGAGCTCGAGTATTTGACGAGCTCTCGATATATAGTTGTGTTCATGCTCAAACTTGTGGGTATCTAAGTTTTGAGTTTACTCGCAAGCAAGTATTTTAGCTTGAATATATATATATATATATAT